AACTCAAATAACTATTAAGTTTATATACTCAATTTTGAAGACACTCAAAGGTTTAGGGTTTACGCTCATTTATTGCATGTCATACCCAAGTGTTGAGGGTAACCTTTAGATGTTTAGTGTATAAACTCAAACTTGAGTGTGAACGTTGTAAACACTCAATCTTTGAGTGCATATACTCAATGTTTGAGTGCAAACACTCAAAATGTAAGTGTAAACACACAAATTTCAGAGTAAACTCCCAAAATTTAAGATTTACACTCAAATTTGAGTATAAACACTGAAATTTTCAGAGTTTTTTCCGTAAGGGAGGTGCCAAGCGATCATATATTCTCGACAGTAGTAGGCCGGATGGATACGCGTATTCAGCTATCTTTAAAGATTAATATCTCATTAACTATTAGGAAAATTATAAAATGGTACGGGACTTTTTGACTGACAATGAGTTTAGTCCGCTCTACCTGCGCATGAAATATTTGATAGTTATTCTGGGATACCCTGTATATTGTCATATATGGATATATTTTGTTAAATGTACATATGATTTCAATTAAATTAACAACATATTAAGTAGAAATACAGTGGCAACCTATAGAAATAATTAAAAATAACTTAAATTGGGTATAATTTGACATTACGATTTTAGTAGTGTATTTTTTACAATAATTTTATGTAAAAAATAAAAAAACAACAGCTTAGAAAGAGATGATTGAACAAAGATAAGTTTATTGTTTACGTACACGCGTTGTTTGAGCTTATCTATATTTATTAAAAAGATATAAACAATGCATTAAACAAAAAAGGAATTTTGAACGCAAAGAGGACATTCAATTAATAACACAAAATCACGCTAAAATTAGCCCTATAATAATAATTTTATTAAAAATCGTAAGGAATTTAATGTCCAAGAAATTACACAAGTGTAAAAATAACTAATGAAGGAACAAGTATTATTTTTCTTTTACAATGACGAAAATCGTCTATTTTTTGAACCTTCAATTTTGGAACTGAACTGTGTGCCAAATTTTATCTTATTGAGACATTAATCACAGAGAAGTTTGAAGATGAGGTGACAATTATTATCAGATCTGGGAATGTAAAAGAAAACGAATTTTCGCATAGACGTAATACGTGACCTCCCCCCCTCTCCCCCTCCAGCTGTAATAACAATTGTCACCTCAACTTGAAACTTCTTTGTAATTAATATCTCATCGTAAGGTATCATTTAACACACAGTTCATTCCAAAAACTGAGGGCCCAAAAAACGGGCGGAAAGGAACACTTTTTTGCGGTCATTCTTTCGTTATAGAGCAAATTTAATAAAAATTTACGCAGTCCGCTTTAAATGCCGACTTCTCACTGACCTTGATGTTGACCTTAAAATTTCAAGGAGATCAAAGTCATTGACCTTTTCCATCGCTCGTTATTCGTTAAAAAATCATTAACAAAAAAAGTTTGGAAAAAGATCTTTTGCCACTACATAAAATAGACACTTTCTGCTTTAAAATATATTTTCCGCTTTTCACACGAAGTGACTTTCATCCCACCTCTCCCTTTGCCAAGGGCACGAACCTATATACAACAGTACAATTATAAAAGTCGTGCGCCCTTTGGCAGAGGGGGAGGTGGGGTGAAGTCGCTTCGCATAAAAAGTCGAAACCCATATGCAATAGTATCTATAATTATGGAAGTCGCGCTTCTTGGTAAGAGGATAGATGGAATGGAACTGGCATCGCCTGAAAAATCGTAAAATATATTTTAAAACAGGAAATGTCTATTTTATGTAGTGGAAAAGAGACATCTTTTTTCAAACGTTTTTTAATAACTTTTTAATGAATAACGAGCGACGGAAAAGCTAAATGACCTTGACCTTCTTGAAGGTCAAGGTCAACATCAAGGTCAGTGAGAAGTCATTTGGGGCGGGCTGTAAAAGTAAACTTTTACCGCAAATTTCGTATTAGAGCAAATTTTGATAGAAGATATTCGCAATTACTGTTATTATAAAATAAAATTTTCAATATAAATTTACGTACAAATTTTGAAATTCACAATTCAATGTATACAATCTAAATATGATAATATTTGATATTTTAACACCTCACATAAATTTATATTTGTACACCAAACGTTTATATACAGCGTGTCTCAGAATGACCGCTAAATATTTCCTATACTGATAGAGCGGATTAAACTGAGGCGAAAGTTTACCATTTTGCAATGTTCACAATTCTTTGCTTCACAAACATAAATTCACTGTTTTAAAAACATGAATTAACTGCTTTAAAACACAAATTCACTGCTAATTTGTATACTTGAAGCAGCAAATTTTTGTTTTTGAAGCAATTAATTTGTGTTTTTAAAGCAATAAATTTTGTGTTTTTAAAGCAATAAATTTTGTGTACTTAAAGTAATGAATTTGTGTTTGTGAAGCAGAGTATTTGTGTAATTAAAGCAGAACGGATACATAGCGCTGTATCGAATCGGAATGACAGACGTCTTAATCTCTAAAGTCTCGAATTTTAACACTTAACTCGATTCACGAAGCCGACCGCCGCGTTTTTGAACCCTTATTGAGATACGATAATCGCGATACTGAAAAACTTGACTCACATAAAGTTACACGGTCGGTCTCGTGCTAATCTCTACGCGTGTTGTTATCGCCAAGACACATTACCGTGTCTCCTGAAAAAGAGTTTGCAACGTTATAATCAAATTGTTGTTAAAACAAAATAATAATAAAAAATAACGATGTTACAAGTAACGCATACTTCCTTTCTCTGATATACATATTATTAATTTGTATACATAATGCATGTATAATTTCAATTTACATTCCATGTTAATACAAATGTATGATATTGTAGAAAAATAAAAATTCTTTTATTGCAGAAAGAATAGCACAACTTTGGAAAAATTCCATTTTCAAATTTCGAGGTTGCAGTTATACTCCGAAGATTCAAAGTATGTGGACCAATTACTTCATGAGATGGCGACCAAACCGATTTTTCATGTTGGTGAGTAGAATAATATAATCATTAATTAATCGAAAGGCTTATAATTTTTACAATTTTTGATAAATTATTATTTTTAATTCATTTTAAATTGTTATAATATATTAAAACTTCTTAACTATATTTTAAAAATATTACTTATTATATCTTTTTGTTACTTATTGCTTTGTATATATTATACATTTTTTGTATATTTTGCTGTATTAATATATGTATATATTATTTTATTATATTATTTTATAATATTTATTAATATATCAAATATATAATATTTAAAGGTCATAAAATTACTAGTCATAAATTTTCAAAAATCGCATTTTTGGGTTTTTACATTTTCATAATGCTTTATGTCTTAAGAACATTCTGTGAAAATTTGGAGTCGATACGATCAAAATTATTAAGTTATTTAGTTCAAATAATTAATTAATAATTTAAAAACTAATTTAAAATCGAATTATTCCAGTATATTTTGGAATATCTAACAATTTTTAGCTGGGAACGGCTTTAAATTTCGCGTGCTTTCAAAATAGTCGTTAGTTTATCGATTG